ATGGCTTAATAAGAAGCTGACAGCATATACCAAGATCCAAGTCAATAGAGCCTGTGTCCTGAGTACTGCAGGAGAAGAAGCTGGACACGCTCCATATGCATTGTCTCCGAGGCATTTTTGGTATCACATCACAGGACAAAGTTCCAAATAGAGTAATCCTAGAACGAGCTGGAATTTTTAGCATGTATACATTACCGAAACAGCAATGTCTACGTTGGCTTGGGCATGTCATGAGAATGTCTGATGGTTGGATTCCAAAAGATTTTCTGTATGGAGAATTAGTGCAGGGAAATCACCCCAGAGGGAGACCACAGCTGCGATACAAGGACATCTGCAAGTGGGATCTGAAGGCCTTAGGAATGGATCTCAACAGATGGGAAACCCTGACATCTGAGCATTCAGCCTGGAGGCAGGCGGTGCATCATGGCTTTTCCCATTTTGAAGAGACCCTTGTCCAGCAGGCCGAGGCAAAGAGGCAGTCCTGAAACCAGCAAAATCAGGGAGCTGGACAGGGGACAGATTGCATTTGTCTTCAGTGTGGAAGGGATTGTCACTCTCGCATTGGCCTTCTCAGCCACACTAGATGCTGTTCCAAGTCCTCTATTCAGAGCATATTACAGTACTATAGTCTCTCGAGATGGAAGGATGCCTACACCCATATACAGTCCTCACTATTTTCAAAAGTAATTAACTACAAGGAGGAAAAATCACTTCTAATCTCTGAGAATGGTAAAAAAAATCACTATCCTTGTATGATTTCTGTTCTTTTTCACATTAGTCTGGCAGTTTTCAGCACAAATCTATCCTTGTATGATTTCTGTTCTTTTTCAAATTACTATGGCAGTTTTCAGCACAAATGAAGAAGATAAGTCCTCAGAGTCTAATAAACTTGTTTTAGGAGGCTTTATATAAATGTCCAAGTAGAAATACAATTATCTAATTTGTAGGAATAGCATTATTAGCATTAATTATGCAAGCTGGGGCTCTAGATGTTTTAATTGTGCGAACAATCCTGTCTATTTTCACATTGGTGGCCAAAAGACTGAGGGAAATAACAGATTTTGACTGCGAGAAGGACCATAAGAATATCTGAAATGTGAAAACATTTTAGTGGTGCATTAAAGAATCCTCATTTAAGGATTGACATTTTTGCTAAGGGACTGCCTAGTGCAGCCTCTGAGTCCTGAATTTGAGTAACCTATCACTTGAGGTCAAAGAAATACAGGTTCTTTCCAGAAATTCTCGTAAAACTGGCTCCTATATTACTAAAAACAGGTTTTCTCAGTATTGGGAGGGAGAGCGGAGGCGGATTGAGTTGTTTGTTTTTTGTTCTTTTGCATATTAAAGGTAAATGGCATGTGCAATGGTTCTGAAAAGGTATTCCAGGTAGGGGTGCTAGTGTTCCTGTGGTACTTGGGGGTAGGATTGCACAGAACCTTCTTTTGAGATGTATTTCTGCCGAGGGGAAAGCAACCAGGGATGGAAATTAACACCACTCTCTGCATTTTGGAAGCCACTCCAAAGCAATGCAAATAACCCGGAAATTTTTAATCTTGTTTTCCCCACCTTGTTGGTTTGCAATCCTGGCATTCCTCTGCTCCTTTTACCAGACCGTGCAGGACAACTTAAAAACACTCTAGCACAGATGCTTCTGCTTTCCCACATATCTTTCTCAGCCCCATATATGCCAAGGGAGGAGGGCATTATGGTTACCTCCATCTCTCAACACTGTTCTGGGATGTTCATTGAAACATTACTCCTCCTTTCAAAACACCAAAAAGAGAGACCAAAGAAAATACACATTTACATATGTGGCAATGCTAATTTTAAAATGTTAAAAAGGAAATTAAATTTAAATTTCTATAATTAAAAAAAATACAGTACTCTTGCCCATAGTAGGAACAACTAAGACTAGGTGGGCCATGTGCTTGCTCGCTCTGCTTTGCAGTTGCTGATTTTTGATGGGCAGCAAGATATCTAATCCTTTATCTTTTGATGAGACTCAGACTGGATAGCCTTCCAAAGAATTGGCCTCCTCAACCACACTAGACACTGTTCCAAGTCCTCTATTCAGAGCACATTATCATAGTCTCTTGAGGCTGATAGATACCTAAATCAATCATTTAGAATACAGGACTGTTTTGCCCACCAGTTCTCCAGCCCTCTTCAGGAGGACCCACTCCAGCTGTTCCTTTTTTTTCAGAAGTAATGAGTCACTCCTAAAGTTGAAATCCTCCATAGGTGCCTTAAGATCCCGAAGCAGTCTTTGAGGGGCTCATCTTTAAACTAATCAGCCTACAGTACATGCTTGACCTCCTTTGAGCCAAGATAAAAGGATTTAATGCATAAGCAATACTCAACAGTTTTATTATTTCTCTCAGGCAGATGCACAGGCCTGCCAGCCAGTATCTAAAAGGTCAGAGCATTTCTCCGCCATTTAATATCAATAGTTGCACTGAATGCTGAAAAATTCAGATTTTGTTTTTGAAATGTGTCAACCTTTGTGGTGTATATGATCCATCTGTAGCCTTAGGAATGTGGAACAGCTTAGTTACTGAACCTTCTCCTGGTGTGGACCACATCACTGCTCCCATTAATGGCAAGCCATTTAATAGCTGAGCCAGTAAAACAGGGCCCAGTTTAGAGCTTTTCAACTATGAGGTTTGAAAGCGAAGTGAGACTCAGCTTCTGCCAGGCTTACCCACAATCTGCCATCTTCCATGATGGCTTTACCTTTACCAGGGTTAGGGGCTTGAGTCGCAGGACTTCTTGTCAAGTGAGACTTAAGTTGCACCAGCCACTCAACCTCAACCCAGGTGTTTTTCCCCCATTACTTGGACTCAACTTACAACTCAGAATCCACGCGCTCCTCCCTTTTTCCGGGGGGGGGGGAGCTCATTTTAAATATGGACTCAGACTTGGATCTTGGGCTCAGGACTTGGTACCAAAGACTCAGACCCAAAGACTTGCCAACATGGTACCAATCTTTGCTCCATCATGTTCTTATCTGAGTTGAAGACCCAAGTCCAGGATTTTAAGATATCAACTCCTCTTAAAAGTTGAAAAAAAGTGGTTATTATCTTTAATTTTTAACAGGACTTCATCCTGTTCTTCCTTCCAAATGGGTTCAAATTGTATAATATGTTTACCCCATTTTTTTCCTCACAATCATCTGAACGAAGGGGTTGGGGGAATAACGTAATGCGTTAAGAGTACGTGAGTTGGGTATTGATCTCCCACTGAGCTTCCCAGGAGAAGAGCTAGCCTAGATGACCTTGGGCAAGCTGCGTAACCATCTAGAGCACTACCACAAGGTTGAGGACCACTGCTCTAGAGCACTACCAGAAGGAGAGACTGGTATAACTTCTTAGTAATTTATACTTTAAAAATATTGGGAAGGGTCATAAGTGGGGATAGACTTGAAAATGCACAATTATTACTTGCAGATGATACATTGCCATATTTTCCTATAAATTCTCATCTCTGAAATTTCTTTATGACATAAATCACTGCTGGATCAAAGAGCATGTGGTCTCCCACAAAACATATTATTCTGGATATCTTTTGGATACATTTGTTCTTCTATAGCCTGACCTGACAAATCCAGTATAAAGGTGCCTTCCAACTCTACTATTGCATAGAAAGCATTTCCTGTGAGAGGTGAATCCTGTTTAGTCCTGTTACTCCACCACTGACGGTGCCTGTCATTCCATTTTCAAAGTTGATAAGCACTGCAAACAGGTTCTGCTACGTGCTTTGGTGCCCTATAATCTTTAAATACACGACATTTAAGTACAGTGTGTTTTCTTATTGGAGTCCCTGACTACTTTCTTTCCACAACAATCTCATCTCAGTGAGATGAGGTGGGGCAAGTGAATGGCTAAAGAAAGCTAGGGGCATTCAGTGGGAATGCACACACCGTCCATCACCAGAAGACCTAAACTATGCAAGCATCCGTTGGCTAAAGAAAGCTAGGGGCATTCAGTGGGAGTGCACACACAAAAATTTGGCTTGCAACACTTCTTGACATTTGATCACATTATTATGTGTGATATGCTAATGGCATAATCCTTGGTCGGTTGGTTCAGAGAAAAGTCCCACTTGGTTGAATAGGCCTTAGCTCACCAGAAGTATATACAATAATGCAGCCACTGCCAAGCACTTTTAAGTCCGACTGATTTCAATCAGAGACGCACAAATGCTTGCTTATGTTACTCACTGAAAGAAATGGATTGTGTACTGGGGCCCATCCCAGATACTAATTGGTTTTCTTAGTTTCCAGGGGGACTCTGGAGGATATTCTTGACAAATATTCCTGACAAAATTATCCTCAAAGTTCTGGTCATGCTGAAGAATCCAGATACGGTCTGGGCAAAGAGGCACAATTTAGGGGCAGGGGAGCCAGGCAGTTCTTTGCTATGTTATGAGAGGAAAATAAAATGCTGGCTAGAGCTGATTGCATTTTATAGTCACCTAGTTCTCCTCTGGGGGGGGGGCACCGTTTCTCTGTTGTATACTGTGCTGGAAACAGCTCTAGGGCTTCAAGAGACCTGGGAATGTTGGAGATGAACCTGGGACTTCCTGTATGTACAATGTTTATTCTAATCCTGGGTTACAAACCCTCCCTTTCAGGTATTACTCTCAAGGGAAGTCAAATCTCTGTATAAAATATCAGTGTAAAAAGAACATTTTGCCAGTACCATATAAATCAGTTAGGGCATGTCTATAGCTTGCTATTTGGATCACTTTTGGCGCCGTTTGGTTTGAATCAAATGATGGCATCCAGATGTTTTGACTTAGAGGCATGCAGCCTACCCTTTTTAGAGCTGTCCCTCTCCTCTTTGGCACAGCACTAGGGCTACAGTTTTTTGTTTGTTGTTTTTGTATAATTCAGAGCTCTCCTATTTATCCCATTCTGTAACCCACGCAGATGGTTAGTTAACACCCAAATAGAGCGGTGGGTGCTATTATCTGAGGTGACAACCCTTTTGACATATTTGGTGGGTTGTAGCATTGAAAGGGACAATGGAGAATTCTCCGCCTCTATTTTTATCTACTCTAATATATATTTAATTACTATTAATACAGTGGTATTCTGGATAAGCAAAATTTGTTGGCAGTATTACGTATACCATGCTAGGAAGATGCATTGCTGTTGCAATGTGTCACTTTATTTAACAACCAAATAAGGAAAGCCACTGCAGCCCACTGAATGGAGAAGGGGGAAGGAAGGGGAGTGTCATTAATCAAAAGGGGGATAAATTGGGGCAATCCAAAGATCTGTCTGGACGCTTCTCGGATAAGCAAAATTTGTTGGCAGTATTACGTATACCATGCTAGGAAGATGCATTGCTGTTGCAATGTGTCACTTTATTTAACAACCAAATAAGGAAAGCCACTGCAGCCCACTGAATGGAGAAGGGGGAAGGAAGGGGAGTGTCATTAATCAAAAGGGGGATAAATTGGGGCAATCCAAAGATCTGGCTGGACGCTTCTCATGGGAGAAGAAATGTTGATCAATGTGAATGGAAAGATGGCTCAAGTGAGAAACAAAACAGATCACACTAAAGATAAGAACCTTTTATGCATGAACCAGACTGCTTCATCTTCCCAATTGGATGTGCCCTTACTCTTTTAAACAAATATGTTGTACACAACATTTTATTTATTTATTTTTATTCCTTTTTACTTACTCTTTTAAACAAATATGTTGTACACGCCATTTTATTTATTTATTTTTATCCCTTTTTATGCCTTTCTTCATAAAAAGAACCCAAGGCAGCTTAGGAGGCATCTGTTCCCCTCTACCTTTTTCCTCAACACAGAACAAAGGAGGTCAGACCAAAGGCATTACGATAGCAGACCTTCGGAAACCTTACAAAATCTTTCAGGGATAATGCAATAATACACGTTTGAAGTGCATTGCTATGAAGCAAACATGAAAACAAATAATTTAAAGAACAGGCCAGTCATCTTTCTTCCCCCCTTGACATTTAGTCCAGTCGTGTCCAACTCTAGGGCGCAGTGCTCATCCCCTTCTCCAAGCCACAGAGCCAGCGTTTGTCCGTAGACAGTTTCCGTGGTCATGTGGCCATTGCGACTAGACATGGAACACCGTTATCTTCCCACCGCGGTGTTATCTACTCACATTTTTACATGCTTTCAAACTGCTAGGTTGGCAGGAGCTGGGACAAGTGACAGGAGCTCACTCCATCATGTGAATTTAATCTTACAACTGCTGGTCTTCTGACCTTGCAGCACAGAGGCTTCTGTGGTTTAACCCACAACACCACCATGTCCCACATCATCTTTCTAGTTAGTTAGGCATCCTTCAATCTTGAAAGACTATGGTAACGTGCTCTGTATGGAGGACTTGGAACAGCATCTAGTGTGGCTGAGGAGGCCAATTCGAGAGTGACAATCCCTTCCACACTGAAGACAAATCCAAACTGTCCCCTGTCCAGCTCCCTGATTTTGCTGCTTTTGTGACTTCCTCTTTGCCTTTGCCTGCTGGACAAGTGTCTCTTCAAAATGGGAGAGGCTGTGATGCAACGCCTGCCTCCAAGCTGAACACTCAGATATCAGGATTTCCCTCTGTTGAGGTCCATTCCTAAGGCCTTCAGATCCTGTTTGCAGATGTCCTTTTATCGCAGCTGTGGTCTCCCTCTGGGGTGATTTCCCTGCACTAATTCTCCATACAGGAGATCCTTTGGAATCCGACCATGAGACATTCTCACGACATGCCCAAGCCAACATAGACGTCGCTGTTTCAGTAATGTATATATGCTAAAATTTCCAACTTGTTCTAGGACTACTCTCTTTGGAGCTTTGTCCTGCCAGGTGATACCAAACATCCATTGGAGCCAACGCATATGGAAGGTGTTCAGCTTCCTCTCCTGCCGTGCACAAAGGACTCACTGCAGTACAGTACTCAGGACACCTGGATCTTGGTATATGCTGTCAGCTTTTTCTTAAGCCATACTCTCCTTGTGAGTCTAGAGAACATGGTAGCTGCTTTGCCAATGTTTTTATCCAGCTCGACATCTAGAGAGATTGTGTCAGAGATTGTTGAGCCAAGTTACATGAAATCATGAACAACCTTCAGTTCCTGTGTAGAGGGAGCTGAGTCCACACCCTGGCCCATGACTTGTGTTTTCTTCAGGCTGATTGTTAATCCAAAATCTTGGCAGGCCCTGCTAAAACGATTCATAAGTTGTTGGAGGTCTTTGGCAGAATAGGAAACAACAGCTGCATCATCTGTGAAGAGGAAGTCCTGCATGTTGAGCCATCAAAAACTACAGTGCCTTTCATTCCCTCATAGAATGACCTGATGATGTTAAGTTGAGGTGGACATCCAATCTTGGGAAGTATTTTAAAAAAGGCCATCCCTGCTAACCAAATCAGAGGCCTTTGTGAGATCTATGAAGGCCACAAAGAGTGGCTGTTGTTGTTCCCTGCATTTCTCCTGCAACCGTCTGAAGGAGAATACTATGTCAGTGGTGGATCTATTGGCTCGAAATCCACAGTGTGATTCTGGATAGACTCTGTCTGCAAGCACCTGAAGCGTCTTCAGCACAACACAGGCAAGCAGCTTCCCTACAACACTAAGAAGAGAGATGCCACAGTAGTTATCGCAGTCGCCCCTGTCTCATGTGTTCTTTTACAATGTGACGATGTTTGCATCCTTCATGTCCTTTGGTACTCCACCTTCCCTCCAGCAAAGACAAAAGACTTCATACACTTCGGTGGTGGTGATCTCTTTACAGCACTTCAGCACTTCAACAGGGATGTTTTCCTTTCCAGGTGCCATGCTGGAGGCGAGAGAATCCAAGACCGCTTATAATCTGATACTCTGAGATATCAGCGGACTGGACAAAGGATTATAGTCTGATCACAAAAGCTGCTTCAAATCTTTCCACAATGTGCTGAGGTAAAAACCAATCTTCCAGATGTCTGGGATCACAGTTCCCAGAATTCCTCATCACTAACCAAACTGGCTGAAGTCAATGGTACTGTATCCGTAACATCTGGAAGCCATCAGTGTGGGAAGGGCTGGGGTAAAGTGTGAAGTGAAGCATCTGTTTCAGTGTTCAAGGAGCATGCATAATATCCATTGCAACTCCTGTGTCTATGGAACATGGTCAATCTGGGCCCAAGTGTAGAATAGCAGTTCTCCAGCAATTTATAAATATTAAGATAATATTTGGATAAAGACACCTGCTGACACTATATGAATTTGAGGACACAGGGCTGACCCATAGGATGCCAGTTTTACTAAACTTTTTCCATGGAATGTCAGAATCCACCCCAACCCTCATTACTTGAGGGCACTGCTGTGATTCATTATGAATCAGCCATCACGTGTCCTGAGAAAAGAGGAGGTAGTTCTTAGTAGGAGAAAACAGTTCACTTTCTGCCAAGGCTCTATAGTCCATTTCTGGATGCTGGGAGTTTTACACATTTTCCACCCATTACTTGACAGTACAATACAACACAGAGAGCAAAGTTGCAATTCTTTTTGTGGTGGATAAGACAAAATCAACAAAACAAACAAAAGGGCCATGCATTTCACTGCAAGCCCTTTGCAGATTTGTCAGAGTTGGTATATTATGGCCATCTATGAATTTTAATTTATTGAATAAATCTGAAGAGTATGAGGCAATAACACAATGCATAAGCCTGTGCACCCAAGTATTGTCCCTTTGCAGTACCTGGCCAACATTTGCTTACATTGGGAATGTCCTATATGAATTTGACTCTTCTACAACTGGGTGTGAAAATTATGCTCTTCTGCTTACAGTGCTCATCATCCATCAGTGACAATATCCAGGGACAGCCCAATTTATATAAACAGTAGGTTAGGCTACATATGGAGCAGGCAGTGGTAGCAGAAGTGGTGCAGTCCACTCTAACTGCAGATGTGGGTGATGCCTTTTTAAATACTCCTTAATAAAAGAGTTCCTATATGCAGAAAACAAGAATAAACAAATCACTCCACAACATTCTGGGTTAAAACCTTCACTCTTCTGGTACTTGGGGGGGGGGGAAACCCAGCAACTATCAAACTGCAAGTAATACACATTCAAGAGCATTAAAGAGGGGGAGAGAGAGAGAGAGAGAGAGAGAGAGAGAGAGAACTTTTAGGATTGCAGGTGGAGTGATAGTCCCATAATTTTACTACTTTGCCCTAGGACGTTCTTCAGGAAGCCGACATTACGAATCAGCCAATAAACTTATTCACTGCAACACAGGGGCACAGGTCAGACATAACAGGAAACCATAGTTTCAAATAACAAGAACCATGGGAAGAGTTAGGGACACATACATCTACCTGGATCGACATGAAATGGATGAAAAGTTCCAACACTTAATTTATACTAATCAGAATTGTCCATTATGACCCTGTAGAGCTTTGATTTCTTTAAATTCTACTTAACAGATATAATAGGGCCATCCAGGCTTGTTCTTAAGTAAATCATGGTTTCCCAGAGGTCATGATTCTAAGGAAGGGGAACATTATCAGTGGAAAAACACTTGTGTTGGATCTGAAATGGGCCATGGTCCAATCTAAGTGAAGGTTAAATGCTTCATTTCAGTGTTTGAAATATGTCATTAGATAGTAGACTGATGGAAGGCTAGGCGAGCTGCAGCAGGAATACTGTCAAAATTCAAGATAACACAGCTGTGTCCTGCCGAGTTTTCGGCTACCATCTTCAGTGCTGGTATGTATCATGATCCGGTGCTTTTACATCAGATAACTACACTTAAGTCGTGAAGAGATCTTTGGTGGACAGAAGGAGGAGATGCTTATAGCTCAGCAGCTTCTTGTATTCTTGGGACAGCGTGTTGCGTAATTTGGGATGCATATCTGGTTTCGGTGGGCATTTCTTCCGTTGTCCTGGGGTGGGGGGGAAACAAAACAAAATGCTACAAGGATGGGTCACATAGGTTACATTGTTCGACAATTTGCTAGTAGCTGACAGCATATGTCAACGTCACTGGAAAGCATTGCTTGAAGCAAGAAATACACTGTGGCCGTGGTACAATGCCTAGCATGCATGTTTGAAACAGCATTACTGTCAATAATTGACGATTGCAACATCCCAGCAGCAAATCTAGACATTTCTCAATCAGAATTGTAAAGCCACCTTGTGTCACAGTTGACAAATGGACCTGTATCAGTTTCTTGAATTATATCAGTGCTCATTTTAATGGGTAGAAAGTCTAGCCAGAATGCTCTTTGTCACCACACAAGTAATGCAGAGGCAACTTTGCTGGGTGTTATGCTCAAGCAAAACAGGTTCTGCAGTTCAATTGCACATCTAGCTACATGGTTCCCATTGCGACCAATTGTATAATATGCCAGCCTAAATGCCTTGTGGAAGCACTTCCGCCTCGGCACTACTGAAGCTACTGTGGGTATAATGTTGAGATATGCTCATGTATAACTTAATTTAATTATAACAAATTAATTGTTAAAATTGTAATTCTATTATTTTATATTTTATACCATTCTGTTTTTATCTATGTAAGGTAAAGGTAAAGGTTCCCCTTGACAATTTTTGTCCAGTCGTGTTCGACTCTAGGGGGCAGTGCTCATCCCTGTTTCCAAGCCATAGAGCCAGCGTTTTGTCCGAAGACAATCTCCCGTGGTCACATGGCCAGTGCAACTTAGACATGGAACGCTGTTACCTTCCCACCAAGGTGGTCCCTATTGATCTACTTGTATTTGCATGCTTTTGAACCGCTAGGTTGGCGGGAGCTGGGACAAGCGATGGGAGCTCACTCCGTCGCGTGAATTCGATCTTACGACTGCTGGTCTTCTGACCCTGCAGCACAGGCTTCTGCGGTTTAGCCCGCAGCGCCACCACGTCCCTTATCTATGTAAAGCTGTGTATATTTTAAATTATTTTTATTTTGTATGTTGTGAGCCGCCCAGAGTAGACTATGTTTAGATGGGCGGCATATAAATGCAATTAATAAATAATAAATAAATGTAGCTCTCCAACAGGATTTCAGCCTGTCTGTGCATATAGGCAACTGGAAGAGAAAATACATGTCCAAACACTTACAATTCAGAGATGTGCTCTCTATTTTATGAAAACATCTCACTAGCTGGCAGCTTTTAGGACAGGAAAAGCTTTCTTAGGGCTAACTTTTTATCTTCAAGAGAAGGTTTCCCAGGGCCCCTTTTCTCTTTTCATGGCCACTTTTTGTCATCAGGCGAAGCTTTCCTTACGCGATGCTTCCTACCCATGTGTATGTAGCATTAACTTGTTATTTCTTCTCATCTTTACAACAGAAGAAATTTTAAGCTGGACACACCCCACTATTTCAGAAATTGCAGCTTATGTCAGAAGAAACTAGTATGATCTTGAGTTCAGTGCTACAAGGAGATACAGAGAGATCAGACAAACAACTAATATTCTAGCAAAAGGGGACAAAAAACCCTGCATGAACTCCAGCCTAGATTCTCAACAAGCTCTAACTAGCAGGCTCTGCAGACGAGCAATCATCCTATTTGAAAAGAGAAAATGAGTGAAGGAATGCCCTCTAGTCTGATAGTCCCCCCCCCAAATCCTTATCCCCAATAGTCCAGGAAGCAAGAGGTATTTCCCCATTTCAACTATATTGTTCTTATTTTGTCAAAACCCTCCTTTTAATGATCAGCTACAAGAAGAAAAACTAGGCCAAGTCTCCAGACACCGCTGAATTAATGAACGCATCTTTTAGGGCACGGGAGTTTTCAGTGAGGCTCAGGAGGGCTGCCCCTTGATACTGAGTGGGGACAAAGATGTCAAAAGAAACTCACAACACGGCCTGAAGCAAAGCAGCAAGAAATCCAAGCACCAGGATGAATGTTAGTACGCTCAAAATGGAGGTGATGACTATCATTGTGCCACTTCTCCGGCCTGGCCAGGTATCAATGGTGGAGGACTGCTTCACTAGGGAAAGAAGCAGAGCATGGCGAGTTTTATGGGTACTCCAGCTGGTTTGATGATACAGTAGAGCAGTGGTTCTTTAACCTTTTTTAAAGAAACGCCCCCTTGAGCCATTAAAAATTTATCATCCCCCTCCCTGCGGCGGTGGCACGGTGCCGTTAACCTTTTTGAAAGAAACGCCCCCTTGAGCCATAAAAAATTTATCATCACCCCCCTCCCTGCGGCGGTGGCATGGTGCCGTCGTGGGGAGGGGGGCGATGCTAACTTCCTCAATGGTGGTGGCAGCACCACATCTGCTGCCAGCACCAGCTGCTCTGGATCTGGCACCACGGGGAGGGGGCGATGATAACTTCCTCAATGGCGGTGGCGGTGGCAGCTCCATTGCCCCCCTAAAGCCCCCTTCTGTTCCTTCAACCCTGCATCGCCCCTTTTCATTCCATTGTCCCCTGAAAAACAAAATCGCCCCCTGGGGGGCAATATCATCCAGGTTAAGAACCACTGCAGTAAAGGAAGACTTGACAGCAAGTAGGTTGTTTGTCAAATCAGAAAGCTCAGAATGCTGGTGTTTACACATACTGGACTCAGAGTCAGTCTGTAAGTTGAGAAACAGAGAGGAAAGTCCTTAAGTATCAAAAAATGTCAAATTGTCATAGCAGGATCTTTTCTTACCTTCTGTAGTTTGCCAGCTGAGTTTTATGATTGGTCATTGAGAGGTAAGCACAGGCTTTGTCTGCAAGTATAACTGCTCAGTCACAAAGGTTTGCTTGAATCAGGTTTCTGGAACATTAACGGATTACCATTTCTAGTAACATGTTTTTTTGCAACATACAATTTGGCCCTAAAATACTTACATTTTTTGGTTTTGATTGGATGAGACCAGACAGTTTCATCTTTCATGACACCTGCTGTTCGATCAACAAGGATATATTTAAACCTGGAAGGGTATGTAAGAAAGAGGCAACTTTTTTTTAATTAACAGAGAGAAAAAAGGAAGAAAAGAACTTACACGAAAACCACAATCCCCTCACTGATATTTCTGATAGAGGCGATGGTTTAGAAATGAATATGATCAGTAATCAGTGAAGAAAGGTGGGGAGCCACTAGATCCTTATCTGAAACTAGACTTTGTGAGAAGGACCTTTAACTACGAACTTGAGCCTCTTCTGATCAGCTGCAAAGTGATCATGGAAAATTAGGATTTTAAGCAGTAAAAGGTGAGCGTTTTGCACCTGCTCAGAGAAACATAAAATGTATAAAGCATCCCTTGCAAGTTGCAAACATCTGAACACTTCATGGCACCTCTGCTGAGGGAAGGATGGCAACTGGGAGAAAGAGGCCGGGGAGAGACCGATTCAGGATCCTCAAGCCTTCTGTCTGCCTGCTTTGCAACCATTTTGGCAGAAATCCACATTCCCACACTTGGGTCTCTGTTCAACATTCAGTTCAGCAACTAGTCCCATAAGCTAGTTTACAGCAGGAGAAAGACTGTCCTGAGTCTCATTCCTGCAGCCACAAAAACAAAACATTTGCTAGAGTTGTGCCGGCTGCTACAACCCTACATCTTGCAGGCAGGGTTCTCCAGTTAATTCATGTTGGAGTCTTGGCCCAGATACAGATTTTGCTAAGTGACTACAGGCTTGTGCAAAGGCTTGCTGAGAGGCTGCTGCTGCTGTTGCTGCTGCTACAAGGATTCAAAGTAGTTGGGAGGAAAACCCAACAGCATAGGGCTCCTGAGCTGAATTAAAAGCAGCAGTAGTACCAACCAAGGCTGCATTTTCAGCCTAAGCTTCTAGTTACCTGGTTTTACCCAGACACACTGCAGTCAGAGCTAAACTGCAGATCAGCTGGCAGTCTATTTAAAAAAACATCTACTCTGCTTTTAAATAATGAAAAAACAAACAGGATAAGAAATAAGATTCAGAAAGAGAACAGTCCAGCACCATACATTAAAAAAACAGCAGTAAGGCAGTTATAAGGATGAAAGCAAATAAATGCCTTGATAAGTAAGATGTAACTTGTTTCCAAAATGAGATAAAGCAAAAAGCAAAGCGTGCTGCTTATATACCGCCCCATAGCGCTTCAAGCACTCTCTGGGCGGTTTACAAGTTAATTATGCAGGCTACACATTGCCGCTGCCCCCCCCCCCAGCGAGCCAGGTACTCATTTTACCGACCTCGGAAGGATAGAAGGCTGAGTCAACCTTGAGCCGCTACCTGGGATTGAACCCCAAGTCATGAGCACAGTTTTGGCTGCAATACAACGGTTTAACCACTGCATGGGTTTTGGCTGCAGTACAGCAGTCTAACCACTTCATGGAGCCTTACACCTAGGAAGGCCTTTCTATTAGTACATATCTCATTAGAAAATGCCTTCTGAAACATGTCTTAACTCTGGACAGATTCAGAATCGCACTTCTATTAAATTGGAGTCTAACTTGCCTTTTTGGGGGGAGGCAAAGGGGCAGTAACTGTGTTTTTAACTACAGTATTGCCTTAAGAGGAATTCCCCAAAATATCATACCTGTATGCTGTATCTTGGGAGAGGGGTGGATTGCAAGCTTCTAGGAATTCTGGGTCATATAGACATGTGTCATCCTCACCGACTCTGATCAAATATTGGGTCAAGACAGTAGGTGCTTTGGTTGCATCAGCAGCATCAGTGAGCTTGGGAGGAGATGTACAGTTGGGAACATTAAATGTCGCCGCTCTGTAAGCCCCGCTTAGTCCTCCGTTGGTTTGTTGGAAAGTAGTGTTGAGAGGTTTGCTGCTATTATCCGTAACGGGTAGTCTTGAATGATAAGCTGCAGCAGAAATTGACAGAAGTGTTCATGCAATAATTTTTACTTGGCGCTCACCAGTATTACCTGCTTATTGCTAGACATGGGACATCTGCCAGGCTTCCAAAAAGCCAGTCACCGGATCCCCAGTGGGTTTGTAAGAACTGCTTTCTAGGCATGTAGTAGAAAAACTTGCATCTATAGGACACAAGCTTATTTTTTTTCCTTTGGAGTTACTCTGGCAGGGCAGACAGAGTAATAAAATATTGTAGGCTTGTAAGCCAATCTACTCTGTAGTTTTTTTTCTGCTACATAATTAGAGGAAGTTTATTTAATTAAGCCAGACTATTTAATTTTCCTCACACTCTCTGCCCCAAGAAATGCTTCAACACATTGTAGCAAGGAAGGAAGTGGAATCAGTATTAGCATATGTGTGTGTGTGTTTGTGTGTGTGCGTGTGTTTGTGTGTGTGTGTGTGTGTATAGAGAGAGAAGGGAAAATTATAACCACTGAAATACCATTTCCAGCAGCATCTTGATACAAGTAAATGTAGCACGAACTTGACAATTTAAGAAGCATATCTCAAATATGCACATTTGTCAAAATGACCTAATCCTCAGTATTGATCATCACATCCGCAAACAAACCCCATCTGTACGAAGCATGGAAAAGTTACTTTTTGAATTACTGGTCCCTGAATCCCTCCAGAGAGCAAAGCAGAGTCATCAGGGCAGGTTAGGGGGTCATAATGCAAAACAATAACTTTTCCCAGGCTCTCCCTCTAACCCAGTGATTACCAACCTCGGGTCCCCAGATGTTCCTTGACTACCAGAAACTTTGACCACTAGTTGTACTGGCCAGAATTTGTGGGAGTATTCCAAGAACTTTTGGAGAGCCAGGGTTGGGAACCACTGTTGAATACATGGCTGAATGGCATATTTATTTATACAATCCCCTTCATGGATTGCTGCCTTGTCATGGCAAAGGGGCTTGAGTAATTCAGAGAAGCTATGGGCTATGCCGTGCAGGGACACCCAAGACGGACAGGTAATAGT